CTTCTCTTTCCTTCTCTTTCCTTCTCTTTTAGAAAAGCTGCAACATACGCAATCACTTAATGTTTATTTTGGTAGGGTTGGAAGAGACATGGTTTTTATTGTTACTTCATTGGAAATACATTCATATCATTTTCTCAAGCGAATGAAACCTGTGGAAGACATCAGGCCTTTTTAGCAACTATTGAAGACAGGTATGTAAAAGTCTACTTGCATGAGGGGATCACATGAGGACTCAACATCTAGAGTCATGTGAATATCAAAATAAAGACTCTGATCTGGACAAAAATCTCGCTTGAGAGGACAGCTATCTGTAGATACAGAACTTCTCATAGTTTTCGTGGGTATATTGAAATCCAGGAAAGCAGTTTAAAGTAAAAATAGGTTATGGCTGTGAAATCAGTACTGATATAGATGGTTATGTCAAGGGAAAAAAATAGAATTATTTTTTCTATTTCTTTAATTGCATTGGCTGAAGGATGGGTTTTACTTGAATGAGGCATGCAGGATCCACTTCTGATTGTTAAATGGAGAGATGGCCCTGAATTCCTTTCAAAAGATAGTTCAAATGAGCAAGAGGATATAATTTTCACCTATCTGATCTGGTCTTCTCAGAATTGAACTACTTTAAAAAAAAATAAATAAGAAACTAAATGATAAAAGAAGTGCTTGGTACCTGAAAATTTGTCACAATTCAACCTGGGTCCAGTGTGTGCTAAATTTCTGAACAACCGCCGCACATTACTGAATGTGGGATATTGGGAAAATGATAGTTAGAGTTAAGAAATAGCTTATTTTGCTTGCAATTGACTCAGTGCTTTACCCTTTCTGTTGTTTGTTTCTATATAATCTAAACAGATATGTTCTAGTATGAAAGCTCTAGCTGTCATGAAAGGTAGCTCTCTAAATGTAGGCAGCACTGCTGCTGTCAAAAATGATTTAACCTTAATATGGTCTTCAGATTATATCTTGTTAAGGGGAGACTTCTTTTATTTGCTTAGATTTCTTAAGAGCTGTTTGTTTAAACACCATAATGAACTGGACAGGTTTTACCTCTACGTAGGTTTGTTTCCCAAACATAACTTTTCTTACATGATCATTGGATCTAGTTTACAGTGTTCCTTAGTTTGATAATTTAGTATCATACTACTCTAGCCTCTACTTTTGTATATTTCATCAATAATGCTGAGATTCCTTTTCCAGTTTTGGATTTGCCTGAAATAAGAAGTCATTAAAATACAAGAGTACTAGAAACTCTCAAAAAGTACGACGGTATAACACTTAAGTCATGCCAAGTTTCTTCTTTCCCACCAATTTCCTGTCAGTCCATGATTATGTCACCTTCTTTACTGGACATCCTGAACACTCTGGTATCGAAGCTTACAAAATATCTATTATGTAATGTTCTGCTACATGCTTTGTAAAGTAAACATAAATGGAAGTAAAATTTACTTGGAAGTAAATCCATCCAAGCTACACATTCAAGAAAGTAAAGCAGAAATTCTGAGAATTTACAACCTTTTAAAATAAATTTAACAGTATTAATTTAATGGTTGTGCTCTTTTGAACAGATATGAGCAAGCCTATCTGACTAGCCTGGTTGGGCTGAGAACGGAAAGATACTTCTGGATTGGACTTTCAGATGTAGAAGAAAAGGGAACGTTCAAATGGGCTAATGGTGAATCTGTCTTATTTACACACTGGAATTCTGAAATGCCTGGTAAGTACGACTCTATACCATTTAATGAGTCCAGTGCCCAAACTACATTGCTCACTACTTGAATCTTTTCACTTCATTCCTCAGCCCTCGCTCGATGGTTTAACGACTAATTGCTCTCAAATATATCTGGCTGCTTTCTCAACATGCAGTGTTGTTGTTAGCTTCTTGCCTAGTACTGAAATGAGTTGTTAACATGAGCTTGGGAAGAAACTTTAAATTGAGATCAAGTTTCTGATTTGTGTCTGTTCTGGGAAAGTCTGTATCTGTACTACTCTGGAAGAGCAATCTCTGCTGGCATATTGCTCCCTGCTTGTGAGTCCTGCCTGTTCAGCCGTATCTCATAGTATATGTGCTCTCTGCATGTTCTGAGGTGCATGAGATGACAGCATACATGAAGCATCTCTGATCCTAGAGAAAATGGGATTGTGGGAAAGGACAAGAGGGTCAAAGGAACATTTGTGTTTAATACTTTTTTTAAGTTAAAACCTTTGCTAGATTAATTATGATTTCCTTATTTACTAAGTTTCATTGATGAAAACATTGATTTTTTTTCTGTTCTAATAAAATTATAGGGGTGGGAGGTCATTTAATCTCTGATGTGATCACATCAGAAAGGGGATGGTCGTCAGCCTTCAAGGTTCCGGTGTGTTGCATTTCCCTTTCAGGAGATCCTCTAATTCTTTTTAATTGCAGTGCCTAAATGCTGATTTAAATGTGTCAGCTGGAGTGGTAAGGCTATGTGGACGATGAAGCCAATACTAGGCCTATGTACAGCAAGTTCATTTTTAAAAATCACAGTCAAATTAGACAAATTTGAGAAACTAGCTCTAACCACATCAACAGTTTTATGGGAGAATTTGTTGGATCGTGGGTTATGATGTTGCTAGAGTCAGCCACTGGAGGTGATTTGAAGTGAGGCACAATTCAGTTTCTCAGATTCTCAGATGTGGGTGAACCACAGATTTTTTTTGCTACTTTTTTTTTTTTTTCTTTTTTTCCTTCATGAATTAGAATCCTAGAATCACAGAATGGTTTGGGTTGGAAGGGACATTTAAAGATCATATAGTCCAGCCACCCTGCCATGGGCAGGGACATCTTGCGCTAGATCAGGTGGCTTAAAACCCTGTCCAACCTGACCTTGAACATTTCCAATGGTGAGACATCCACTACTTCTCTGGGCAACCTGTTCCAGTGTCTCACCACCCTCACAGTAAAAAAATTTCTTCCTTACGTCCAATTTAAACCTACTCTCTTTCTTTTTAAACCCTTTTCCCCTTATACTGTCACTACAGGCCCTGGTAAAAAGTTTTTCTCTGTCTTCCTTATAAGCCCCCATTACATATTGAATGGTCACAATAAGGTCTCCCTGGAGCCTTCACTTCTCCAGGCTGAACAACCCCACTACCTCAGCCTTTCTTCACAGGGGAGGTGTTCCAGCCCTTTGATGATTTTCATGACCCTCCTCCGGATCTGCTCTAACATTAGAAACAATTTTGACTCTGTACAAAGACTTAATTTCCATCTGGATAGAATATGAAGTTTTCCAAATTCTTATGAGCCCCTAAATGTTGCTTTTGTGCATTCCTGTTTACAATCAGGAAGAAAGCCAGGCTGCGTTGCCATGAGGACTGGAATTACAGGTGGATTATGGGATGTAATAAAATGTGAAGAAAAGGCAAAGTTCCTGTGCAAAGTGTGGGCAGAGGGAGTGACGCTTCCACCTGCTCCTACAACAACTCCTATCCCCCGGTGTCCAGAAGGTTGGGACTCAAACAATCGTATTAGCTTCTGTTTCAAAGTAAGTATGTTGCTCATTTCTGCATTAAGGTAGTTTCTATTTGCTGCACATACACTCATTAAACATTGGTGTACACATGTCTTACTGTTTCATAAGCTTACCTACAGATTATATGTAGAGATCTTTTTCCCTTTTATTGAAATGCTCATGGGTTTGTTTATTCCGTTAAAGTCTGATCTTCAGGTCTGATCTTCTGACCTTAATTTCCCATTCTTTTAAGATTGAATTTCCCATTCTTTTAAGATTAAAAGTGCCTTTCTCCTAGTTGTTGTCTTGCAGCAGATACTCCTATCAGCAATGCAATTTGCTAACTTGGCTTGAAGACGCTCGTACTAAGCCTGTCTTTCACAGAAGTGAACACTCATAAACCCTATATTCAAAGTTTCTGTAATCCCCATGTAACAAGTTAATTGTAAAAGAATTGCTTTTGGGTAGCTGATGTTTCTTGATCTTGTGATCTATATGGTCTATTTTGTCTGATTGCAAAATACTCTCTTTAGCCTTTTTCAAGAGGAGAGCAAAAGAAAACATGGCTTGAATCTCAAGAGTTTTGTCGAGCTATAGGAGGAGATCTGGCCTCCATTAACGGTAAAGAAGAACAGTATGTGATATGGCGTTCTATTGCGTGAGTATCTGTAGTGTGGTCATCCATTCACTTTAATTAGCCTTTTGATCTTTCTGAGATATTTAATTTTAGGTGTATGATTTTACTTCAGTATAAATCAGTCTGGATTCATTATCTGCATCTGTATCAAACACACAGCAAAAAAGCAGAGCTGATGAAATAGCAGGAGTCATATGACTACCAGCAATCACCCCAGAAGTTAATGCTAAAATGAGATTGGCAAGATATCTAGTTGAGGCAACATTTATCATCTGATGTAAAAACATTTACTGTGGATTTAGGAATATTATAAAATTACCGCAGATGCCAGTTGTTGTCACATGTGCAAGGGTAACAGTCATGGTATAAATCTGATCAATATGTTGATTGTCTATCATTTTTATGAACTAATCAGAAAGCAGAGGCAACTTCAGATTCTTTTTTTCCTACATAAGGAATGAAAATAAGGTTAGTAAGTCCCTGAACTGTAAAAGCAGGTGTAAGATTTCTGAATGAGATCAAATAGTCTTAAAAAGGTAACACTTGCAATATGACCTGAATAGATTGGGCTCACTGAACTTGTACATCCCTGTCTAACTAGAAAGCAAGACTGAAACATGGCAGCCTTGCAAAATGCCACAACTGTACTAGAACCCCAGCTATGTACTTATAGAAAGGAAGAAGTATCAGATGCTGCATTACAGCAAATTGACTCAATAAATTCAGATAAACAGTAAAGTGTGGCTGCTTGGAGACAAGAATTAGTTTAAAGTGCTATTTTAAAAATGTGTTTCAACTGCAGCAAGTAATGGTTTTTTGGAAACTGTAAGTGCCTTTACAGAGAAAATGGACAACTGATAAATGAAGCAACAGTAGTTATAGAACCATTATACAGATGTATTAAGCCATCTTATTTTCAGGAGTTGAATTGGATCTGGACATTTTCTTCATCAGTATTTCAATCTATCTGAGTTAATGTCTAATGATAACAGCTAGAAACACTGTTGCATTTGAAATGCTAGGTTGCATTTTGGTTAATTTCCACCCTGGCTGTTATTGTTTCTAACAGCTTTAAGGATTATTTTTAGAGAAGCTTATTAACTGTTGTGAATGGTAGATTATTAAAAATATTGTAATGCCTTTACTAGTTTTGATTTTGTGTTTAAACTTCTTATAAATGGGACATTTTGGGTTTTGTGGTTTTTTTTTTGGTTTTTTTTTTTTTTTTTTTTAAGGAACAATGGCTATTACCACCAGCATTTCTGGATGGGCTTATATTACTTGAATCCTGATGATGGCTTTGTTTGGAGTGACGGATCTCCAGTGAGTGATTTAATTTTCCACAGCTGTTATTTTGCATTCCCTATGCTTCTCAAGTGTCTGTGGTGTATGTGTTTCTGTATAATTTTATGCTTAATCATAACCCTCTACTGTATCATGCTCTTTTTAGGAAAACTTATGAATAGCAATTTCACGGCTTGATCTTTTTGGCTAAAACATACTGATTTTTTATAAGAAGATGTGCATTGAATCAACATGAAAATCAAATACATGTAGACTAAAAGAATGCTCTTATAAATGCAAGGATATTTTGAGTAAAATAGTCCATCTCTAGTATTTCTCTTCTTTGTTAATTAGATCTTTATCTGAAATGACCTACATTCCACGGAGCTGAAGGCAGTTGTTTTATGTCAGTATGACTTGACTGTACTTTAGACTAAGATATAAAACTCTAGAAACAAAAGTGGGTTTGGAGATGTGGGTGTATTTTATGCAAGATTGATCAAAATATATTGATGGAAGTATACCACACAGAAAACTGAAATCGGAATTTATACAGGAAAATTAGAATAGCAGTAATATTTTTCTGAGAAAAATGCCAAAATTTTTGTTGCGTCTCAATAATGTCCTATTATTTTACTCATACAGGGCATTTACTTAATTTAATATCAACATGCAGCATGCCCCATGATTGTTATTAGATGAATTTTACAGAATTTAGGTACTATAAAAAATGTCAATATTCTTCTAAGTGTGATCGGAAACAACTGTTATCAAAGCTTCAGTCCAGTTGCAATTTGAGAAAAAGTTGGAAATGTCAGCATTTACACAAGAAGATTCTGGTTTCCTCTTATCTAAGTTTTTAAACTCCCAGTAGTAACAAGTTGTAGGTCTGTGGTTTGATGCTGTCTCCTCCCTGCCTCCGTTATTTTCTTTCTATATAACAGAATCTTCATAAAACCTTTTCTGTCATAGGTGAGGTATGAAAACTGGGGCTTTGGAGAACCCAATAATTATCAAGGAATTGAACTTTGTGCAGAGATCAGTGGTGATTCCAGCATGCTTTGGAATGACAGGCACTGTGATTACCTATATGGATGGATTTGCCAGATAAGAAAAGGTATCTCTTACTCCCGTGTATTAATATAATAAGAAAAGATTCTCAGTTGATTTTTTCCTTAACCTCAGGAAATAAAAAATTTCAAAATCTGTTTATCAGAATGATTCTGTGTGGAATGTGAAATATCAAAGTGGTATAAGGATTTCCAGGTCTTTGATGCATTTAAAGATATAGAGTCTTTGGTGCCCTGCTGGGATTTCTCACTGATCTTTCTCTATGATTTCAGAAAGGGAAAACTGATACTTGAAGAATAGGAAATGCTACTTTGAATATTCACATTCCCTTTTGACTTTTCATTTAGAGAAGTTCATACCTTTTCCAACAAGTCCTATTCTGGAATTTTTTTCCGAGTTGAGTTTCAAGTTATTAGAAAGTAGTTTGCAAGTTAGTTCACATTCATTTTGCTTTGACTGGGTTTTGTATTCACATGTAGGTTTCTTTCTAACATCTCCTGAGATCTGAGTTTGGATGCTTTTGTTTTCTGAAGATATCAAGAAAAAATTTATAATTTAGAGAAATCTTAAGTTCCACAAGCAATGCATCTACCTAAGTTCGGGTATCTTAGAAAGTGTTTATTTAAACATTTTACCACATTCTTATATTGGGAAGGAGAGGAGCAAAATAAAGATGCTGCTTTAGATTATTGACAATGAAGTACTAGGTCTGTTTTGCATTAGTAAAAGAATTTCTTAGGCAGAGAATTTCTTATTAAATGCCAGTATTTGTGAGATTGTATTTTACCACAAAATAAACTGGTAAACCTATAAAGACAGAGATCTCTTGTATTAGAAATTGTTTTTCTGAGATACTAATGATGCCATCCAGGATGCCACCTCCATGATGCCATTGCAAAAACAAACAGCAGAATTCTTTAGCCTGTAGTCTTCTTTTCAGAAAGGACAGCTAATTTATTGGGATCTTTTCCAATGAGATTTTATCTAGGGAAATTTTAAAGATCCAGATAGAAGTTCTGGTTTCTCAACCAGAGAAAGATGGAAAGAACCTCACTCTGTAGCAACTAGGGCACCACGGAGAAAGATAACCCATCCTGCATTCAAAAAAATATAAGCCAGAATTCATGTACAAGTGACCTGGGGAAAGAAGGGAGACAGAGATACAGGACTGTCTTAATAGAGTTAATGTTTTGGGATATAAGGTTTTCTGCATCTGGTGAATACCAAAAATAATTACTTAATACAGATAAATTTCAATGTATTTTATAACACCCTGCACATAGGGAATAGCCTCAGGGAACAAGAATATGTGTTTAAAATTGAATAGTGTACCAAAAATAAGAGATCTAGGCTATTTAGTTCCTACTAGTTTTTGGTGTTAAATCCATTGCTAACTGTAAAATTCAATGTCAATAGGAAAATATGCTTATCAAATATAGTAAATATTTTCTCTTACAGCAGAAAGTGTGCAATCATAATAAATATTTCTTTCTCACAGGGGCAAGTGTGAAGCCTGAACCAACAGAATCTCCTGCACCCAGTAGGTGTTATTGCTATTACTATTTGTGTGTGTGTATGTTTAAAAGCATTTTTAAAATTATACTAGTGAGAATGTGTTGTTTCTCAGGAACAATACAGTTAGTTTACCATTATTTTACAGAATACAAGACTACTGAGGATGGATGGATTATGCATGAAGACAAACAATATTATTTCAGCACGGAGAGTGTTCCTATGGAAAAAGGTCGGGAGTTCTGCAAAAGGAACTTCGGAGATCTTGCTGTCATTGAGAGTGAAAGTGAAAGAAAGTTCCTCTGGCGATATGTAAGAAAAATCATTAATAATATGGAATAAATAATCCAAAATAACTGAGCATGGGCACAAATCTGTTTCACCCTGGTGTTCTCCCTACAAATTTTATGATAGTGAAATTGCAGCAGCATTAAGCCAGATAAATTTTAAGAACAAACTCAAGTCTTTTTTTAGATTGTTTCATAGCTGAGATGAGGAAAATTTTGATTTGATATTTTGTATAGAAATAAGCACGGTAAGCATTAAACAGATCATTATCTGCTTTTCCTATTCAATGTGTCGGTTACACCGCATTATATGTATCTGCAACTGGTAATGTGCTAAGGTAAATCTTAATACTTACATTTATTTGATCTGTGACTTCATTTTAGCAAGAAGTATTATACATGTGAATATATTGATTCTGTAAGGTGGGTGAGTTAACTGAAAGTGTTGGATCAAAATAGATATTGGCTTACATGCAGCACTCAGAACATTGGCCTTCGATCTTGTCAGTTTATCTAGGATATAGTCTACCTAGCAGCCTCTTTTTGGTCTTCGTGTTTGCTCCTTTGCCTCCTCCTTCTTGTGGGGAGATTACAATTATGCAGGAAGAGCAACTTGAGGCATGAATTATGCCAGAAGAGCTTTTAAATTATATGTCCTAGGTGGCTGGCATTGGTTGCCTGTTGCTACTGTCTTGAAGCCAACTTCATTTGATCAGGAATGAGCTTAAAAGTCAGATTTGAACTAGATAGAACTTGTCCTGAGCTGGCTGAAGAATGGCAGTGAAATGACACAAGGGCCTATATTAATTTATATCCAAATTGTAGGAAGACTTGTCCCTTGCAAGAAATTTGTCAGATGATGTCCACTGCAGAGACTATGCAAGGGATGTTGATTTCAGTGACTTTCAAGTAAGACTGTGAGAAGTATTGGTATAGTGACCATATCTTTTGGCCCATGGTGAAGTTTGACTGTGGACTGTTAGCTATGAGCTGCTTTAACTTAAATGTTATAGCTAGAGAATACAGCACTTCATATCCTCTGTCAGTCAGACTTCTATTACTCATTATTAACATAATAGATTTCTACGATAAAAAGATAAAAATCTAGATAACATCCAGATAAAAATCTATACAATTTTAATCTTTACCTTCTAGATCTTGAAAAACGGCAAAGAGGATTCATATTTCATTGGTTTACAACTGAGTGTTGACCAACGGACAAGGTAGGCCAACTAGAACCATCAAGCTTGCATTGTGCTTTGAAATAAAGAAATCTACTGAGCAGAGCAAAAATAATGAAGTGCTTGAATGGTATTGTGGCCTGCCAAAGCAAATGGGAATGACCTTCCTCTGAATTCTGGGCTATTTTCATGCTTAATGTTTTTTGATTACGAAGGCTGTAAAACTGTATTCTGTAGTAAATATACCACAAAGTACCATTATATTTAACCAGCTTTTTTTTTGAATCCCATTTCTCTTGTTAGGCATTGCTGCCCTACTGCTACTGCTGTTATTATATATTTAACTATAGCAGGAAAAACACCTTGATTTGAATTTTGCTTTCAGCTGTTGTCTGCCTTGTCCATACTCCAATAAAATATAGCTAATATAAGGAATTTTAAAGAAGTATTTCCTGTTGATACTGGTGATTTTTTTCTTCACAGAAGGCCAGTTCATTTTCAAGTAAATGTAATTCCTCCTGCACACCACTAGAAGCTAGAGTAGATCCATAAACCCTAAAACTTGTCTTATTCTTTAACAATATAAAAACATTAACTTCATTTTTATAAGTTTACATCAGGTCTGTTAGAGTAGGAAAGTTCTTCTTTACTGTTTGTTTTAAGATTATGTAGTCTGTGGGACCAAACAAGTTAACTCAATAGGGCATGGGTTTTCAAAGGACATACCTAGTTTTGAGTCTTAGTTTAAACAAGATTGTACTCTCAAGTGGTTTAATTCCATGTTAATTTAGCTCCAGATTATTCAGAAGAAATACTGCGTGTTTCCTAAATAGATTTCACCTGAAGCTACAGAAAAATTACACTGCAGATAGTGTATTTTGAAGTTTTATTCAGGAATTCTAGTTTCCTTTATTCCGTGATTTATATAGAAAATCTAAATAGATGCCCCAACTAAAAATATGTAAGATTTTTTGTAGGTAAAAACATTCTTTTTCACTGTCCTTAACTGTTGGGAGCAGACTGTAATAAAGGGAAAAATGCAACCTGTTTTCTTTTTGTAGAACTAAGGTAGCTGTTGCCATTATATAACTTCATGTGCACTGTGAGGATAAACAGGTTTTCTGCAAGCCTTTCTGAATGTCAGTATGCAGCAACATATTGATTTTTACATGTAATGTTAATTTAGGCCTGGATTCAGTTTTGTCAGGGTCTTGAAGTGCCTGGATAGATGCCTAGTAGTTCTTGGTTCTCTTTACAGTCCACAGTGACAATGAGGAACCTCCAGAGGATAATTAGGATGTTAGGTGAGTCAGGTCACCTTCTGAAAATGAGGTGTCTCTGCCATTCCATTGTTTCTGTAGGGACTCTAAGATGAATAATCTTTTAAGTGAAGTACCCTGTGTATGTGCCTGAAGGGAGAACCTGGGCACCTCTGGCACTTGCTGTCCAATAGGAATATGTCTCCTAGTAAGTGTTTGGTTGCCTGGTTATGATTTTGTTCTTTATTGTTTAATCTATATGGATGTACAACTTTTTCGATGTTTGTATTTTGCCTTAAGGTAAGGCACATTGTCACAGGAATTTTCCTGTGGGTTGTTTGTCATGCCCTTTTCCTCTGCATGGGGGAAAGATCAAGCATTTTACCAGTGTTACAAATAAAACCTCTTAACCTCTGTAATAGGCACAGGGAATGTACGACTTGGGGAAAATGGTGAGCATCTGGACTCTCTCATGCTGAAATGATGTCTGGCTTTCACATTGGCCCAAATGGTTATTTTGAGTATTGTCCTATCAGTTGCCAAAGTATCAGCATATTGCTCAAATGTAGAGTAAACAGAACTTCAACACATACACTTACTTTTTTGCGCAGAGAGTAAGTTTAGTCCAGTTAGCAAAGAGGCAGATTGGTCAAAAAACCTTGTACACCTTGAACTATGAACAGCTACATTAAATATATCGCAAAATTACTTTTTGTAACATGGAAGGAATTCTATTTGTATGTTAAAGAAGTGTTTTGTCGCATTGTTTTCCTTAAGTTGGATGGATGGCACTCCAGTGAGTTATTTGGCATGGGCACCACATGAACCTAACTTTGCAAATAATGATGAAAACTGTGTAGTTATGTACAAGAATTTAGGTGAGTTTTCTACGCTTGTTCCTGAATTTCATTATTTATGTGTTTGTGTCACAACTACTTTTCTTCTGAGAGGCACCCCTTCCACCTATTATTTTTCTACTCTTTCACAAAATGATGTAGAAGTAGACCATAGTATTATTTTCAGGACTTAATAATTTTGTGCTCTTGCATTTACCTTAAGCCTAGCATGGGGAAGTTCTGATAGAGATCTGTGGTTGTGATTGCTATACAAATGTTTTATATTTTTAAATTAAAATTGGCCTAATGTGCCACTATAAAATTGATATTTCTAGTATCTAGTTCTACACTGATTTAACATTCTGTACTTACAGTGTGTATAAAGTGACATATCCTAGATGCTGATATAGAATGATAATAAACTGAGAGACTCTGAGGACTTGATCTTATCTTTCAACTAGAAGCGCTTTGTGTAAGAATGAGTGAAACTGATTTCCATTTAACCAGCTCTGAATGTGATGTCATACAGTTCCCCATTTATCTTACATTCAGGATTTTGGAATGATATAAACTGTGGTTATCCAAATCCCTACATATGTGAAAGGCACAATAGTTCCATTAATTCAACTGTTCCTCCAACAACATTTTCAACTCCAAGAGGATGTCATCCAACTTGGCTTTCCTTTCATAACAAGGTACCATAATAAACACAGTGCATGTTGGATGATTTGCAATACATTAAATAGAAAACAAGGGAATTATTTAATAATATTGTTTCTTATTAGAGTAAAATACGATAATTTTTTGCAGAGAGCTGGTTGATGCCTGCATGCTTTTCTTTGTTTGCCCGTCTGCCATTTTGCAGGAAAGGTGCTTTTTTGATGCTTCTAATGAAGTGGCAGATAAGCATATTCAGTTGCAGCTGACGAAAGTAATTCTCTAGTCATCTCTTCAAACCTTTTGATATGGATTTCCTAAAGAGTTTAGACAAAGTTCCTGAAGTGTTGATGCTTTGATCTTGATGTTTTTTAACCAAACCATAATACTTTTTTCAGTACTGAATACATTTTGTATTCCTTAACGTTACTAATACGATATGCTTTGTAGAGTCAAATAAACAGAGAGACTAGTATCAGTCATGCATAACTTACAACTGTTAGTTGACTGCCTATAAAAAGTCAGGTTTTGCTTATTTTCTAGGGATTTCAGATGAAATCTAGTATGTGTCTCATTGAGCAAAACACTTTTTTTTCCCAGTATTATTATTTTACTGCGTTTTCTCCATCCTGCTTTGCTTAAAGCAGTGGTTTTCAATCTGTTAGGGATCATAGAATCATTTGGCCTGGAAGGGAACTTTAGAGGTCATCTAGTCCAACGCCCCTGCAGTGAGCAGGGACATCTCCAACTAGATAAGGTTGCTCAGAGCCCCATCCAGCCTGACCTTGAATGCCCGCAGGGATGGGGCTTCCACCACCTCTCTGGGCAACCTGTTCCAGTGCTTCACCACCCTCACTGTAAAAAATTTTTTCCTTATGTCAAGTCTAAATCCACCCTCTTTTAGTAAAACCATTACCCCTTGTCCTGCTACAGCAGACCCTGCTAAAAAGTCTGTCC